AGAAATGCCCCCTCTTGGTCCCCTCAGATAGCGAAGAGGGACTTTGCCCTTTGACAGGTGAGTTTGCAGAAGAAACTGAGGAGCTTCCTTCTGCCATAATGCTTGCAAACTGGCGCTTCAGCAAAACTGTTTGCGCCGCTTTATTCAGAGCAACTGAGAACCCTCACTGCTACCCTGGAGACAGCTTCACCCCGGGACTGCCACTCGTTTTCAAATGACCTCTCTCCTGAATGCACAGTGGCAGTGATGGCAGTGATGAGCACCAGAGGTGGTGGATATTCCTTGGTCCTCAGAGCCAGGTTTATTCATGTTCCTTGGCAGCAATAAGAAGTTAAAAGCGTTCACTTCTGCCATAAGTGTTATCACTGAGGTGTGGCATTGCAAGTGAGTACTGCTACCAGTGGTTACGCGCCACAGCAAATAAACCCTCTCAGCCACAGCAGCTGCTCTTGTTTTCTCTCACCGTGCAACACCTCTGGTCCTGTAAACACCCTAGAGGAGACCCTCAGCAGGGCAGGGCCAGATCTGGAGTAAGCTGTCATGCCAAACTGCCTGCCAGAAGCCCCAGAAGCAGGAAAAAGTTTTATATGACAGCATAACATTAGGTGTCTTTCTTGTGGGTTTTAACCCTTCCCTAACAAGGGCTTGTGTTGAACCTCAAATACAGGTCCCAAGAACTCCTACTTGCATAGGACAACTTCATTTTGGAGCAGAAAGCAACTCCTTTATAGGAAATTTCCAGAAGGCAATTCCTTTAGAAAGCCCTCTAGCAAGTGGATCCATTCCTCACAATTTCTGAAGGGGAAAAAAACCCACATACCAATACAACAATCACTTCCAAACTCCTTGCACGCGCTTCTCTTAAAGATGTAGATACAAATCCCACGCTAAGAGATTTTGGACCTGTGAGGCAATGAGGACTGAAGGTGGTATTCCCATCCACTGGGGCAATCCACTGGGTGGTCTAGCAGGGGCAGGGTAAAGCATCAGTCCCAATAGAAGCACTGTCAATACAGCACTGCTACCCTTGCATTGGCAGAGCAGGAGTGATGTTTTTTCAAGTCAGCCTGTGACAGAGGCTGAAAAGCAGGAGCCCCTACTTCCACTCTAGCCCTAACTTAGATGGGGGCAATCTCAAACCGTGAAGTGAAAATTGTTGTCATTGCAAGCTGCCCAAGTGACAGATCAGCCTTAAAGAGTTATCGCAGAAAACTCTGCGATGCCAAAACACCTCTGTAAATGTAAAATACCTCACGGTTTTTTTTGTGCCTTGTGTGTTCCCACTTTCTGAAAGCAAGCAGGGAGGATAACGTTAAAAAACAGGAAAGGTGGTGTCCTTAGAGGGATGGTCACAGTTTTACAGTTGAGGTGGTTGTTTCCTTAGTAACCACTTAGTTGTCTTTCAGTTTCTCCCTGTTTACTTTGAGTTGCTGTTTCAACATACATCTCTGCTCTTCATTCAGCATCACACGGCACTGCATATAGAAAAAACACAGCATAGCTCTCTCCTCCTGTTTTTTTAAACAGATTTTTGCTTTCATTTTGCTTGTAGCAGATGGAACTAAGAAAAGAAAGAAGGTGATATCATGGCCATTTGCTCTGAGACGAACCTCTACCAATGGAGACTGCCCAGGGCAGCTGGACTCTGACCTCAAGATCCCCCTCTTTGGCCAACCTCTGGCAATTATTTTTGAGGAAGATGAGAGATTGCCCCAACCAGTCCAGGTAAGCAAGCCTGGTGCTGTACTTATCCTGCTTCTGGCTTCTTGCGTGAGGCAGCATTCCCCGCACTTCGGCTGTGGCTCTCAGGAGACAGAGGATTTTGTTGTTTCCCCTCCACACACGCTTCTAATTGATGAGGCCTGAAGTTCAGGTCTCATCCCAGATTTAAAGGGGTGAGGTTTACAGGTTTGGTCCAGCCCACACAACTTCTGTGGGAAGTAACTTTCGAGTGGAGATGACCCAGGCCCAGGGAGAGGAGAAGCAGATCTGCTCCCTAGTGTGCATGCCTGTGGTCTTACAGAAGTCATGTAAAGGAATCTCTCAGCAACATAAACAGCCAGGGATTTCTGCATTTCCCCGAGCAAAGTGTTCAGCCATGAACTGACACTGACAACTACCTAAACCCTATCTTCTGGTTAACAAGGATCTTGTGACAGTTTCCCCTTCAAGTTGGCTTACCCAGCTAAGAGGCTTTTTTCTCTCCTAAGCAATCTGTGCTGGGCATTCAGCCTGGCTTGGGAAGGAAAGGATTCAACCCTAAAGGCTTGATCCATTCCTTGTTTCCTTCTGGAAGAAAGCTGGGATGGCTCCACTGAAGTCAGTGGAGTTCAGAAAGAGTGCGGCTTGGCGGGACAGTGAGGCTGCTCCCCATGTAATCTACATGGAGTAAGAACTAGATCCTAACCCAAGCAAAGCAGAGGGCCCCTCCAGTAAAAAACTCACTTCTGCCTCTGAACAAATGCTCTCCTGTCAAATGGCCCTTCTTCACTGAAGGAACTCTTCTCCCTTCCCTGTCTTGTTTTTTTGCTGCAGGATCTCCTAGCTATCTTGTATAGGGAAGGCCCTTCTACTGAGGGGATCTTCAGAAAAGCTGCCAATGAGAAAGCCCGCAAGGAGTTGAAGGACGACCTGAACAAAGGTGGGCAGGTTGATCTGGAGAGCAAACCTGTGCACCTGTTGGCAGTGGTCTTGAAGGTAAGTTCTGCTGCCTTTGAGCTGGGAGAGTGCGTTGCAAATCTGCATGGGACCACTCAAGGGCCTCAGTGGGCCCGCGTGGGACTCAAAGCTAAAACAGTAGTGAAGCCATACGAAATGCTTCAGGCTTAGGCCAGCTTGGTGTTTGTCTTTTCCACCCGATTTTTCTGCCACTGATTTCCTGCATGCCCATGGGCAACTCACTTTTCTTCCTCCACATCCTCCTCAAGGAGGAATCCTGAGATTTCGCGGTGCACAGAAGGCTGATAGGCACTAGGCCCTGCTTTTGCACTAACACCAGTCTAACTTGGCATGTACTCGCACAGCCCACTGCTCTGTCAGGGGTCAGGAGCACCTCGCTCAAACCTGCCTCCTAGGGAGCCCAGACCCCGGTGATGCTCCCTCTGGGCTCAGGGGTACTGGCCAAAGCCTCATCTGAGTATCTTGGCCTTGCAGGACTTCCTCCGAAATATCCCCTCCAAACTCCTGTCAGCCGACCTGTACGAGAAGTGGATGCTAGCTCTGGAGAAGCCAAGCAAGCAGGAAAAAATTGAAGGCTTGAAAGAGTAAGTTTTGTAGCCAGTCCCAGGGTTATGGAGAGGCCAGGGACTTCTCTGGAAATGGGGAGTCTCACAGAAAAACCTGTCATTTCTATCAGCTTGCTAGTGCTCCTGTGCGGGTTGATTTAGTGGGGAAGCGGCACAGAAAAGCACTTCTCTAGCAATAACACTTCCACAGGGTGTTTGAGATTGCTCTAAAAACACCTAGGGTAAGAACAGGATGGAGGTTGCTGTATCTCAGCTAATGTAGTCACTCTGCTGGGGGGAGGGTCAGCCATCAACAACAAACCTTCCTTTCAGTGCCTGGGAGGCCAGATGTTTGGACACCACCACCACGTTTCGTTCTTCAGAAGCAGCAGATTTGGAGGCTGACTTAGGATGCCTTGAAAGCTGCACAAAGTAACCACAGGCTTTCACGTGCCTTCGGAAAGCCTCCAATGATTGCTCCTGACAACGTCTCCTCTATTAGAGCTGCTGATCTGCTGAAAAACGTGGACTGTGCTGTAACGCTCGCTTTTCAGTCAAGGTCTTGTCATTCAAGATCTTTTAAGTAACCACGTGCTCAGCTGCAGTCAGGGATTTCTGAAGAGTACTTGTGGGAAGTAGTGCAAAAAAGCACATGGGGTCCTCTTCTAGGAGGAAGCCTCATTTGGGCGAGTTCAACTTGCTCACAGAAAGAGGTAGCAGCCCCTGCACCCTGGATTCACGTTACGTTTCATTTGCGTTCACTCAGGGTGGCTGACAAACTGCCCAGGCCAAATCTCCTCTTGCTCAAGCACTTGCTTGCTGTGCTCCACCACATCAGCCAAAACGCAGAGACCAACAGGATGGACTCCAGCAACCTTGCCATCTGCGTCGGGCCAAACATGCTGAGCCCAGACACGGACAACACGCTCCCGCTGGAAGTGCAGAAAGAGCTGAATGACAAGGTACGTTGAACTTGGCAGCTAGCTACTCTCTTCAGGGCACATCCAAGCCACCCACTCAGATCCCACGGCCATTGCAAAAGCTAAACAAAACAGCACCCCTGTGCATTGGCGGTGGCCCTCAGCTGGGCTATCTGCAACGTGGCAGACAAATCTCTCCTATCACACCCTCTAAGCAAGAGCAGCACTTGCCCTGCAGTCTCCCGCCTCACATCACAGCTTCTGAGAGCTGCACATGCAGAGACAGCAAGGGACATGCTGTGGGCATGGCTACCCGCCTGCCCCCTCCATGGCACAGACACAGCTGTGGTTAATGCCATGTTGGTTGTGCCAAGCCTGATGAGCCTGTCTGCAGCGTCAGGCCTCACGCTCCAGAGCAGACCCCTGCTCTGACTTTCTGCTGGTGTCCTGGCACAAGTCGCCCTGCCCTCTGCTGCCCTTCACCACAAAGCACAGCTGCAGCCAAAGGCACCTCGCTGCCTCAGCTCCTGAGCTTGTGTGGAGCAGCTGCCACACAGCTACAGATGTCAGTACAGAAACAGCAGTCAGGAGCAGGAAAGACTGTTCCAGATATTTTCAGCATCTCGGCCTGAAAGAAAGGCTTTTCTGTGTGCAGGTGACAACGTTGGTGGAGTTCCTCATAGACAACTGCACAGCAGTGTTTGGGGAAGACATGGCCTTGCCTTTCAGCCCTTCGGACAAGGAGCCCCCCAAGCACACAGGCAGCTCCACAGGTAAGAGGATGGACTGAGGATTGTCATGGACCAGGGCTACTGGTTCCAATTCTTGGAGTGGGTACCAGAAGACACTTGTGGAAATGCAGAGAGGTGCAGAGGGTTCAACCCTACGTTATGGCAGGGTCTGGCTGCTGGAACACTTCCCAGAAGCTCCAAATGACAGCCCTCCTCAAACAAAATGCAGGCCAGATGTTAAACATCTGCAAAACCTCTGCTCTTCACAGAGTTGCTCGCTATGCACTAGAACGGCACTCTCCCAGGATATTGCCCTTGGTGGCACTTGTGTTTCCCTAACTTCTCCACAAGTCCACAGGTACTAAGGTTGCACCTTGGCACCCGCCCGGCGTGCACGGTCCCCCCAGGAAAGTTCCCTTTTCCCTTCAGGTGGCCAGTAAAAACTATCTAATGGCTCTTTCTTGCCACAGAACACCCACAGGCTACTCCGCAGAACGGTTCGGCCTATGATAGCCCAGAGCCTGAAGCTGAATGCGGCCCTTGTACCCCTGAGAGGGAGCAGCCCAAAGGCAGAAGCACCAGTGTGAGTGGAAGATATCCAGCACATGTCTCCGCCCCTTCACTGCCTCACTTTACAAATGCTGTCAGCATGATGGACAGGAGGTACTCAGAGCCAGACTTGTCCTTCCACAACTGCTTGGAAGGCACGATAAAGGACCAGAAGCTAACCAAAAGTGAGGTTATTTCCTGGAAATTTCCAAATTTTCCTGTTCGGCAGGAACGGCTCAGGTTGGAGAACAAAGCATTGAAAAAACGGTTTTCAGTCTTGCTTTCACAATTATTAAATGACTCGCTACCCAAACCATCTTCCAGTTGCTCCCTGGAGAGCTCCTTTTCTGGTTCTGAAGGCTCAGTTTTCATCAGCTCCCCGTTAGATTCACCAACCAGTCCCCAAAAAATCTTTTTAAATAGGCCCCAGTCATTTTCCAACAAGCCCGTGGAGGACAGCAGCACACCTAGCAGAGAGATCAAAAAGCAC